TAGAAGTGACATGGAAGTGAGTATATTCAGTAAATTGTTGTGGGTAACAGATGGTAAATACAGTAGATCTAAAGGCCAGTTCTACCAGTAACCAATTCTACCTTTATGGCAATGGGCATTGGTAAGGTGGATCCTCTAGTAGGTCTGTAGTCATGATTAAATTTTAGGGAAAAAAATTATCCTGTTATAATGAGTCCTTGTCAGTAATTGTAGGACTTTAAAATTATTTTGTTTCTCATCCTTCTAGAATTCAGGAAGCAAGTAATAGAAGCCTTCCCTGGAATTGTTGTTAAAATTATGATTTAAAATATTTTATTAGTTTTAGAAATATTAAATATCTACCTCATGCTGGGTGCTCCGTGTTTAAAATATTGGAGATGTATCCTGTTCTTACAGGTCTTAAAATATATATGCTTACAAACAAAACAACATACAGACAACCTACCAATTATAAAATGTTAATCTTTTTATTTGTAGAAGCAAGAGAAGGGCCTGGAGAATTGAGAGGACTCTATGAAAGGGAGGTGGCGATGGCAGTTGGGAAACTGTTGGAAGAGAACTCGTTTGAGCAGTAGATGACAAACGTGCTAACACGAGGACTTTGCTTTATCTCTCCTCAACCCCATCACTCTCCTTGCTTGAAAGTTGGGCTTCTATATAAGAATTTGTTTGAAGAAATGTGTTGTGCACACTGAATGAAAAATTTAAAAATGAAAACATGATATAATAGAAAATGCTGATATCATGCTACTAGTGAGAATATAGAAATATTTTGAATGGAAAGGTATAAATCATATTTACACTGACAGTTAAAAGCTAAAATTGAAGAGCACTTAGGCTTATTGTTTGAACACTTTTATTGTATCAGACAGTGCTTATTACCAGAGGAGTATGAAGATGTACGTGGAAGCTTGTGTGGCTCTTTTGAAGTGGAAAGTGGGGCATTTCTGAGGACTTTTGAGTTTATGGCATTGGTTCTTCCCTGTATTTAACTTTCAGCCTTTGGCTGTCCCTTCCTTGATCATGATTAGTTACACTATTTTTATAATTGCAGCTGTGATCAGAGTCTTGTTGTTGTGTTGTTTCCAAGTTAACATGGACAGAGGGAAGGAAGCCAAATGATTTTTCTGAGATTACTACTCGAGTGGGGGAAGGAAGAAGGAGAGAAATGGGTTTTTGAGGTTGTACATTTTTGATACGACACTTGTTTAAGGTGGAGTTAGCTGAGCTGTGAGAGGTGGAGGTGGGACTGTGCTGGAGGGCGCAGGAGCATGGATTAGGGTAAAAGGGACAGGAGATTTGGGATCAGTGCTCACAGGACCACCAGGTGGAGCTTTTGGCTAAGGATGTGAAGCTCTCCCAGGATGCTACCCAGTAATAAACTTTGTTGTGGGGAGAGTAGGTATACGTCACTTTTAGGTGTCCGTATTGAATTTCATCTCTCACAGAATAACTAGTTAAAATAAGTGGTATTTCAGGTTCTCTTGTGACTGGTGTGCCTTCCTTTATTTTGTTTTTAGTTGTGTTTTGATGTTGATCTGTTTAACTCGGCTTATTTCTCCTCTGAGCGTTCCCTTCAGCCTTGGATCTAGAGCATGGCAAAATAAATGCTGACGTTTTTAGCAATGGTGCCTTTTAAGATTTTATCATTAGAAGAATCTTTATAATTGGTGTATCTTAGTCCAGAGTATTCTACGAAAGCGATCACAAATAACTGAAACATTGTTTAGGCACCATCGATACTTAGGGCCTCTTTTGGTTGAAAGCTGAGATGGAATTAAAGAACTCAGATTATAGACGTGGGTAATTCACTCAGATCATTTCAGGAGAAGGCATTTGCTTTGTGTACATGCATTGAGCAGGAGAGGAGAGCCAGCAACCGCAGCAGCAGCTCAGAGGCGGGCTAGACTCTCTCTTTCTTTTTTTAGGCTAAAAGGTCTCTCTGATGGTGACTCTGCTTTGCTTTGCGTATTGGGTACCGTTTTCCTCTCTGAAGCATCTTTTTCTCAGCTTACTGGTAGTTTCTGCTTCCTCTTTTTTTTCAGCTTGCCTTTGGTTACAGTAACCTGTTAAGCTCTTTACCTCATAATGTTTCACCTTTAACTCTCATTACAAATTGACTCTCTAGTTTATCCTAGTTTGAATTCCTAAGAAAGGACTAGTTGAATAAATTATGTTCGTGCATTGGGAAACTTTACAGCTGTGAAAAAGGTTGAGGTAGATCCACTGGTATATTGGACCCAGCCTGAACTATGCGTCTGGTGACATCACACTGGTACCTTGGTAAGTGGCTGCCACAGTGGGAATATTCGCAGCATAGAAATTGGCAGATGCCACAAACCAGGGCTCACAGCCTAAACTTCTTCCCTGCAGGAACTGGTTGCTAAGGCTTTATTGGTGTTGATATGCATAAGCTCAAAGATGTACTGTTAAGCAAAAAAGAGTAAGATCTAGAATTATTTATAGAATGGTTCTAGTTTTTAAATAGAAAAGGGACATTTAAATATATGTGTATGTGCATACATACATGCAGATTCTTGTATAGTGTGGAGAATAGTTTTGGGAGATAACGGTGGCTGCTTCTAGGAAGGGGGGACTTAGGTTTGGAGTGGGGTGTGTGGAAGTGTGCAGATCAGAGTTCAATTTTAGATGCTTTGTGTATAGTTGATTATGAACATTAAAAGCCAATAAAATCCTTATATAATCACAGTGTCAGTAGTCAATATAATTTACTTCAATCTCAAACATTATGATGAAGTATGTAGGAAGGAAATATAATCCTAATGTTGAAAGTGTCAAGGTCAGATGAATTCACTTTTCCCATATGTATCAAATTCATAGCCATGCCCCTTAGTACATTGCTTCATATTTGACCATGACTTTTATCACTCTCTACTTTGTTCTGAATTTTCTAATAGTCTTCTTATCCTCTTTTTGGTGTCTTTCATATGTAAGCTTTCACTGTATCGCTAATAATATCTGTGATCTACATGTTGCCTAGAATCCGCTTTCTTCTTGAAGACACCTTGTATTCCCTATTCTAATGCAGGGTGGTCACTCTCTAGGCAACTACACAGTTAGCTTCCTGAGATTGCATGGATCCTGTGTCTACCCCTTTTTTTGATTCTGTTAAAAAATTTTTCTGACACTTATTAAAACAATAAAGAAATCCCTATAAATAAGAGATTTATAGTCAGTCAGTCAAGTGAGGGCCTTGGTGGATAGAAAATTACTAAGAGGAGACTTCAAGGATGGGATTCTTGCTAAACCAACTTAACAGGATTTTTGGTAGAGGCAGGCCAGTGTTACCAGATATCAAGGGTGGGGGATGAGGAATCTGACCAGATATCAAGAGCAAAGAGATGTCAAGGGTGGGGGGACTCTCACTGAACTGACTTAGCAGGATTTTTGCTACAGCTGGGCTAGGCAGGCCAAAACAGGACTCAAGGCCTAGTAAAGAAGATGGTTAAAAGTTTGGACAAGGAGAGAGTCTTTGTCAAAGAAACATTGTTTAGGCAGTAAACTCTGAATCATTGTATTAGTTTCCTCTTGCTGCTGTAACAAACTATGACAAACTTGGTGGCTTAAAACAACAAGATTGATTCTCTTACTGTGCTGGAGGCCAGAAGTCTGAAATCAGTTCCACTGGGCTGAAGTCAGCAGGGCTGATTCCTTCTGGAGCCACTAGGGGAGAATGGGCATCCTTGCCTTTCTGAGCTTCTGGAGGCTGCCTCCTTTCCTTGGCTCATGGCCCCTTCTTTCCTCACATCACTCCAGCCTCTTGCCTTCATCCTCACACCTACTTCCTCCTCTGACCTTCTTGACTGCCTTTCATAAGATTCCTGTGATTGCGTTGTGCCCACCTTCACGATACAGGGTCACCTTCCCACCTCAAGATCCTTACTTAATTACATCCGCAAATTCCTTTTGCCATATTAGGTACATCCACAAGTTCCAGAGATTAGGATGTGGACATATTTTGGGGAGTCATTCTTCAGCTCACCCCACCTTGTAACATCTGTAAACGTTTTTACTTTTTCCTCATACCGAATCAGTTGTTTAGCTTGGTATAGAATTCCAAGCTCATGATAATTTTTTTTTTCTCAGAACTTTGAAAATAAGTGCTTCATTACCTTCTAGTTGATAAGAAATTTGATGCCAGTCTGATTCTCATTCCTTGGTTTATGATTTGAACTTTCTCCCTCTCTCTAAGCTTCTGACATCTTTTACCTGTATTGAATGTTACACCTGGCTTAAGCTGAGTGTAAACGTAATTCACTAGTGTCCAGTTAAGTGTAATTAATGTTCATAATCATGCCTCTAAGGTGGCTGTCACTTTTGCAAAGTACTTTCCATATTGTAGGTCCCAACCCTTTAAAAAAAAAAAAAAAAGAAAGAAGGAAACAGTGAAGGGAAGAAGGAAAGAATAAAGAGGACATTTCACAGTGCCACCCTGCAGTAAGCTATGCGTTTTGTTTCATGAAACATTTATGTCACTTGTATGTGTGTGGTGTGTTAAATATTTCCAAAACCCCCCAGAATTTAGTATGCATTTGCTTAGTGTCTGAAACAGGGGCTGAAGCTTTCACATTAAAAAGTATCATTAAAATTAAGTTATAAAATGTACTCGAGAAGAGTATTCCTACTTAGCTTTAGTATAATGTTTTAAATACAACTTTTCTTTATTGCTCCAAGACAAGTTTTATTAAAAGTAATAAGAATGTGGCTAATTTTGAAGTGCAAGATTAAGGCATATTCAAAGCCCCTGTTTGTTACTAGATGGAATGCTGGGTGTAGGCTGGTGTGGTTCATACTTGGGATCTAGCCTGAAAGGCATGTTTTTACCCTCAACAAACATCATCTTTGTTTGAATATCTGTAGTGCGTGTAACCACAGCAAGGTCTTTTTTTCCCCCTTAGAATATATCTCAGACCTTTTCTTTCTTGTGCCTGTTTCACAAATAGTTTAAAGTAGAGCTGCCTTCCGCTTTTCTGTTTCAGTTTGTTGCAGAATGTGTGAGGGACCACCTAACACTCTTGGTGTGCTTGCAAACTATAAAGCAGTAATGGAATCTTGGAAGAGATAAGTTTACTCTATGAGGACTGAAGCTGTTGTTAATTCCCAAAGCCAGACTGGTTATCTAACAAAGGGTAAAGTACTTTTTAAATTGAAATATATATTTATTTACATTCATCTGTCAAAATGTATACTAGGAAAAATGGTCTGTCAATTTTGTTTCATTGAATTTAAAATTTAGTAACTTTGAATGAATTGTTCATTACAATTTGGGGCTAACTTAGTGATACTAAGTTACAATCCAGGTGGATACTTGATTCTTTAAAGTTTTTATGTTTAAATGGAATTAGAGGTCTTCTTAAAATGCTCTAGTTGTCATTTTCTTCCGTTCGTTTGTGCCCAGAGATGTTTTCTGTATACTTGAGTATTTAATCCAAATGCCTTTCTATCCTTACTACTTAAAATGTGCCTCTTGTACTTTGAAACATTGTTACATTAGATGTAAAGTCAATTAAGATAATTTGATTTAATTTGGCTTGAATACTGTGATATTTGAATACTGTGTTTGATAATGACAAGTGCCCAGGAACACAGCCTGGAAGTCAGTGCACACTTGCATAGACACAGACAGCTGCCGATACCTTCTGTGGTCAGTGTTTATAGGGCAAACTCTTTGTTCTGCAGCGGAATTTCTAAATAAGCAATCAGAACAAAACCAAAGGGAGTATTCTACTATAATTCTTAATAAACTTCTCAACTGTAGATCAGACAGTATGAAATATAATTTAACTATAGTGAATTCTGCATAAGGACACTGCTTCTTACTGGAAAGATGCTTGCTTCACAACGTGGATTAGTAAATAATGTCTCTAAACTTGGTGTTGGGAAAGATTGGCATTTCTATTTAGTCTCTTCAAAGAAGCAGGTTTGGCTATATTTTATAAAATTAGTTTGACCTTAACTCTGTTCTCTTTTACATTCATTAACATTACAAAATTTTCTCCGCATCAGGAAATACAAGGATAAGAACTTTCTAAAGGAATGTAAAGATTAGTACTGACTTGATTTGGAGTCAACTATTCTAATCATGTTAATCATTTTATTCCCATAAAATTAGGTACAGTTTCATCCAATTCCAGTACAACCCCTATTACTTGGCTAGGTCTCCTTTCTGGAAATCTCTAGATTGGAGACGACCCATGTAAAGCGTTGTAGCTTACAGTTTGCCACAATGATGTTTTCTTGGGATACTTTGCATCTTCACTTCCGAACTCTATACTGTTTCCAGTTCTTGCCTTTACACTTTTAAACTTTTCATTGTTAAGTTGGAAATATAGTTGAGACTCCTAGGACTAGTAGCAGGAATAAAGGACTGGTATAAAATACTTCAAAGAAAGCACTCATTTATTGGATTTGGCCTAATCACCATAGAAATTCATGCTTAGCTGTTCTGGTAATGGAAATAGAATTTACTAAGTAGCCGAGTTTCCTAGTTTGAGTTTAATTTCTGTTAATTTGCTTTCCCTACCCTTTTGTAGAAATGTAATGTGTTAAAGCTGGGTAACAGGAGAGGGAAAAAGGAATTGATGAAGGCTCATACGTCTAAAATAGGATAATAAATATGTGTATAATTGAGTTGAGTATCCCAGACTTCTGATTGTATAAGTTAACTGTGAAAATCTGAACAACTAACCTGTATTTTTGTTATTTTATTGAACCATTTGTTATTTATTCACATTTCCCTCAAAGGATAGTATATTGACACTTTGTAGTCTGAGAAAAGCAGTGGCAGAAACATTTTTTTCCCAAATAAGCTTTAAGAAATTCACAAATTCCATTCTGCTATTTTTACTATTATAAACAACCTTGTGCTTATTTGATTATCTCATTATCATAAATTCCTAGAGGTGGAATTATTGGGTAAAGGAGATGCCTGTTTTAAGATTTTTAAAAATTTTTATTGTTTTCTTTACTTTAGAAAACTTTTCTTGTCTTTTGTCCTTAATACTATTTAACATATAGACAGCACTTTGCTATTATGTGGGTATTTATTGGACTATAGTCTCTACCTATTAAGGTTTTTTTCTTTTTAGTATTTATTTATTTATTTGGTTGTGCCGGGTCTTAAGTTGCGGCAGGCAGGCTCCTTAGTTGCAGCTCGTGGGCTCTTTAGTCGCAGCTCGCTGGCTCCTTAGTTGCGGCATGCATGTGGGATCTAGTTCCCTGACCAGAGATTGAACCTGGGCCCCCTACATTGGGAGTGCAGAGACTTAACCACTGTGCCAACCAGGGAAGGCCCTGTTTTTAAGATTTTTGATACATATTATCAAGTTGCTTTCCAGAAAGATTTTATACATTTGTAAGTCTACCCACAGCATAAGTAATGGCAGATTTCCCCACACTATATCAAGACTGAGTAATATCAATGCATTTCTTGGTCAGTGTGAGATAGATGCAAAGTGGTATTTTATTTATTTATTTTTATTTTTAGCTGTGTTGGGTCTTCGTCGCTGCGTGCGGGCTTTCTCTAGTTGCGGCGAGGGGGCTACTCTTCGTTGTGGTGCGTGGGCTTCTCATTGCGGTGGCTACTCTTGTTGTGGAGCATGGACTTTAGGTACACGGGCTTCATTAGTTGTGGCACACGGGCTCAGTAGTTGTGGTGCATGGGCTTAGTTGCTCCACAGCATGTGGGATCTTCCTGGACCAGGGATCAAAACCATGTCCCCTGCATTGGCAGGTGGATTCTTAACCACTGTGCCACCAGGGAAGTCCCTTTATTTTATTTTATTTATTTTTTACATCTTTATTGGAGTATAATTGCTTTACAATGTTCTGTTAGTTTCTGCTGTATAACAAAGTGAATCAGCTATATGCATACATATATCCCCATATCCCCTCTCTCTTGCGTCTCCCTCCCACCCTCCCTATCCCACCTGTCTAGGTGGTCACAAAGCACCGAGCTGATCTCCCTGTGCTATGCAGCTGCTTCCCACTAGCTATCTATTTTACATTTGGTAGTGTATCTATGTCCATGCCACTCTCTCACTTCGTCCCAGCTTACCCTTCCTCCTCCCCATGTCCTCAAGTCCATTCTCTACGTCTGTATCTTTATTCCTGTCCTGCCTCTAGATTCATGAGAAACTTTTTTTTTTTTTTTTAGATTCCATAGTTAACGTATGGTATTTGTTTTTCTCTTTCTGACTTACTTCACTCTGTATGACAGACTCTAGGTCCATCCCCCTCCAAAGTGGTATTTTAAAATTTGTATTTCCTTAGTTTCTGATGACTTGAGTTTTTTCCCCCCATCTCTTGGCTTTTAAAATTAGCTTTTATTTTTATCAGAGCTGTACTTGGTGTAAAGATTCAGCAGCCTGTAAAACTTATTTTGAAAAATAAGCTGACTTCCACACCCCTCCCTCCGGGCTGCCCACCCCAAAGAAGTAATCACTCTCCACTCCCAGCTGGTTCATTATCCGTTTACTTGCAAAGCGCTAGATACCATGCCTATATTGCTGCTTCCTGTTCTGCAGATTTAGTCATTATCTCATGGTTTCCTGCTTTGGAGGGTGAGGATTTGGTTTTCTTCCCTGCACTCACTCAACCTCTTACATACCACACACATCCCTTCAACTCTCGGGACTTGACTTCTTTAATCAACTCCCTGTTTTTAACCCCACCCTCACCTCTTCTCTGGAACCTCCATTAGCTGGGCCACCGAGGGCAAGGATTTAAAGAATCCCTATATTGTCGTTTTAGTGGGGTTTTAGGAGGAATGGATATAAAAGTGTGTGTTCCATCTGCCATCTTTAACTGGACATCCTTTTTCGTGTCTTTAGTGATCTTTTTTATAAAGTAGTGGTTAAAATTATGGACTGTGGAGTCAATACTGTCTGGATTTGAATCTATCTTTGCTGTTTACTAGCTTTGTGACCTTAGACAAGTTAGTTAAAATCTCTAAACCTCATTTTTTTTCCATCTGTGTAATAGAATTAATACAGTAAAGTGCCGTTGTGAGAATTAAGTGTGATAAGGCATGTAAAGTGCTTTCCCGCAGTATCTGGATGCTGACAGTATCTTATTATCTGCAGGTCACTCTGTGCAGAACACAGAGTTGTCACTGCTGTTGTTACTCCTGTGAATTTCTTGCATATGACCTTTGCCCAGTTTCCACTGGAATGCTTGTCTTTCTTCTTGATCAGAGGTGCCTTTTATACAGTCTGTCATTGATCTTTTATTTTTATTTATGGTAGTTGGGGTGTGTAATCATATCCACACTATTTCATGTTTTGACCTTTACTTGTTATCAGACTTAATGATTTTGAAAGATAACCTGGTGGTAATAAGAAAGAAAACTTTATTTGTGGTTGTATTGTGGTAAAAAACTGGAGATTACAATAGTCGTTGGGGCAGTTGATAAGGGAGACCTGAGAGGCTAAATGAAGAAATGATTATATTCATCATGTCAGAGAAATATTTTTTTTAACTCCTGAAGTCTATCTTGCACTGATTTATTTTGCGAGCAAATTACCTAAAGTTTTAAAAGCCTTCTTGAATGCTCTTCTCATCATCTACCCAAGTGGATTTCATCTGAAAACTTAGAGCTCTCAGTTCCAGTTTCTACTTTAATATTTATTTCTATGAAACTAGATCCAAAATTAACTCTTGAGGGATAAGATTTACCATATCCCCTAAGTTAATGCTGTGTTAACAAATTTGCTTTCTTTTGAGTATGGTATTGTAATATTGAAATGGTAGATATGTTGATATTTCAAAGTTATAATTACGGATACTTTATTCGATTTTGCTGGTTTGTCATTTTAGGCAGCATTGATTTACTGTTTTATTTTCATTTGTTTTATCTTAGTTTTATAATTAATTAACTTTATAAATCTTTAAATAACAGTTCATTGAAATTTGATCTCTCCACAGATTCAAACCAGGATGTAGCAATCAAACTTGCCCAGGAGCGAGCTGAAATAGTTGCTAAATATGACAGAGTAAGTATTCATATTTACTCTTTGAGTAATTTTTATTTACAGAAGTATAAATAGAAATGGAGTTCCTTTTTGGAGAGCTTAAATTACAGCAGCATTTTGTTTACTTCCCGTGACTGTTGAAGTCATCTTATTTCTCTGACTTCATCTCTGTATTTTTTCTTCCTCCTTCCCTGTGCTTTAGCCACTCTGGTCACTTGTTATTCTTCCAACACTTCTTCCAGGCTTGCTTCTGCCTCAGGGCCTTTGCACTGGCTATTTCTTCTTCCTGGAACACTTGTATCCTGGATACCTTCATGCCCTATTGCCTCCTCTTTTTCTTTGCCCAGATGCTACCTCTTAGTGAAATCTTCTCTGACCACACTGTTTAAAAAATACACCCCTCCACCCCCTGGCTCTCTATATTCCCTTTCTCTTCTTTACTTTTCACCATAGCATTTAAAGTATCAGCATACTTTATATTATACTTTGTTGTTTGCTCTCCCTCCTAGAATGTAAACTCTCCGAGGGTAAGAATTTCTTTTGTTTGATTTGCTCTTGTATCCTAAATACCTACAATAATTCTGGCTCATACTAGGTATTCAATAAATATTTTAATATATTAGTATATGGAATTGGATACCCATTTTATTTATAATGTATACGTGATGTTAAAAATTGAACATGGATCTGAAAATTTGAATTTATACATGATGTATAATCTCCATTAGCATTTTATCCTTAATTATGGAATCTCTCTTTTTTTTTTTTTTTTTTTTTTTTAGCGGTATGCGGGCCTCTCACTGTTGTGGCCTCTCCCGTTGCGGAGCACAGGCTCTGGACGTCCAGACTCAGTGGCCATGGCTCACGGGCCCAGCCGCTCCGTGGCATGTGGGATCTTCCCGGACCAGGGCACGAACCCGTGTACCCTGCATCAGCAGGCGGACTCTGAACCACTGTGCCACCAGGGAAGCCCTGGAATCTCATTTTTGATGCCCTAGAAAATCACAGTTGTTGATGATTTACATATATCCTTATTATTACCTTAGCTCTTGAGATCTACAATGAGTTGTAGCCATGATTTATAAATGTCATGTTTTATATTTATATCACTTGGATGTAATTTCGTATCTGTTATTTTTGATTACTTATGAGAATAACAGGAACATGAAATTATAGAAGGCCATCTGGACTGTGCCCTGCTTCCAGGGAGGCATACAGGCAGAGCTCAACTGAACAATCATGTTCCCAAGGTTTCTTTTTAAGTTGGTTGTTTGGAACATCAGACACCGTTTCCCATTATTATGATTAGGTTTTAATGTAGTCCGTGAAAAACCCAATTAATTTATTTAACTGCTTAACTAATTTAAAAACAATAGAACCATCGTTTGTTCATGCTCACGTGCATTTTTTTTTTTCATGCAGTTAACACTTAGTGACCAGGCCAAGTGTCATGCTAGGCCTTGGGGTTTCACTGTATAAACGTGAGTTACAAGGGGTCCCTGCCCGCAAGATGCTCACGGCCTACTCAGAAAACACATGAACAGGCAGTTATAAAACATCCACGAGACAGTCAGGTACTAAGTGTGAAACATGAGGGATTAGTGTAGACTCTTGCCCTGGGGCTCCTGCTCTAATCAGTGCTGCTTCACAGCTCAGGAGGGGAGTGTGACGGGCAGTGGGCTGAGGATGGAGCTCTGGGCACACGGACACTTGGTGGGGGCTGCCCATGAGGAAGCTGTCACAGAAAAGTAGGGGAGGGGCAGGAGAACCAAGAGACGATGGTGTCATGAGGCTGGGCAGCACTGACAAGCACAGTGGAAAAGTCCATTCGGTGAGGAAGCCAGAGTAGTGTCCACGGGATCTGACGGTGGGAGGCCGGTTTTGACCTTGGCAAGGATAGTGTCAGGGCCAGTAGAGCTGGGAGTGAAGAGGAAGAGAGGCAAAGTAGGTAGCCTACTCTTCTGAGAAGTTAGGATGAAAAAGCAAGACATACTTTCTTCTAAGATGTTTTCACTCTAAAACCTTCAAGTTTGGCGGTTCATTCTGTTTTTAAAAAATAAATTTATTTATTTATTTTTGGCTATGTTGGGTCTTCATTGCTGCGTGCGGGCTTTCTCTAGTTGCAGCGAGCGGGGGCTACTCTTCGTTGCGGTGCGTGGGCTTCTCATTGTGGTGGCTTTTCTTGCTGTGGAGCACGGGCTCTAGGAGAGTGGGCTTAAGTAGTTGTGGCACGTGGGCTTAGCAGTTGTGTCTCGCGGGCTCTAGAGCGCAGGCTCAGTAGTTGTGGCACACGCAGCATGTGGGATCTTCCCGGACAAGGGCCCGAACCCACGTCTCCTGCATTGGCAGGCGGATTCTTAACCACTGCATCACCAGGGAAGCCCTGGCGGTTCATTCTTGAGTGGCTTCTTGTCCTCCATTGCTCCCTCTTTCCCAGTCTGTTTCTCACAGGAACCCAGGTCTGATCACGGCTTAATGTCTTCCAAAGTTTGTATCAAAGAAATAGTGATTATTGCCAGAAAAATTTTTTTAAGTTAATTAGGGTCGATAATGCCTCAGTTCCAGCTCTTATTTTTAGCAAAAAATAAGTCTTGTTTTTTGCTCTTTTTAAGAAATTATTCAGTTTTATGTATTCCCAATAACACCCTTCTTTGTCCCCTATTATAGGGACGAGAAGGTGCAGAGATTGAACCTTGGGAAGATGCTGATTACCTTGTTTACAAAGTCACGGATAGATTTGGCTTCTTACAGTAAGTTGCATAGTTTGAAAGCTAACTTTTAAAATTATGTTTCTATGGTCTCCTATTTCGTTGATTTTCTTTATTTTTAATAGCATTGCTCTGAATAAGATTCCAGGATTGATCCTGCAACATGCTTTTTTTATTAAATTCCTGGAATTTTTAACCTCTGTGATTGAAATTGAACTATAGTTAAGAATACAGTCTTTAATATTCATTGTGTTTTAGTAAGAACATTAAGTGCAATGAATGTGTTATATTAATAATTTAGCAGAATTAAGTGGAAATCAATAACAACTTGTATTTCAAAAATAATTATAAAACATTTTATTTTATGTAAATGCATTTTAAAAATAATTAGCAGTTAGAACTTTAGTATCGTGCAGCCTGAAAATGAGCAATGAAAAGAAATGCCACTGATCTTCCTTATGGTGGGAAATGTATTCGTATTATTGCTTCTGAAAATTAATTCCATTTATCCTGAGTATGTTATGTAAGGAGTCGAGAGAGGTCTAGAGCACTGTAAAGTAAAGTAGTTAAAGTGGTTTTGACTCTTAAAAACATCCTGAAATGATGTGAATTTGCCTGTTTGGTTCTGGCTTTGTTCAGTAAGATTCCCATGGGCTGGAGACTTTTCTGCATCTTTGTAGTTTGTATGGTTCCATACAATTTAGTGATTATAAAACCTACTACTACCTACTACTACATACAATTTAGTGATTAACCTACTACTTATTCACATTTATCCTTTCCCAGTCTCATTTATTATAAAGAGGAAGAAGCCAGGGATTTTTATGTTATGATACATGATTAAATTTTGAAGGAGGAATACAATTTCTTAGGGAGTTCATAGCAGTAACTTTATAGTACTCAGACCTTCTTTTTCCTTTCTGTTCAGTTTTCTTGCATTTAGAAAGTATTTTGTTGTATCTTGTTTTTCTCAGGGTAACGCAAGCAAACAGAAACAGTTCTGGGAGTTAGAATGTGTGCTCTTCTTCTGGCTTTGCTGGTTTCAGTTAACTATTTCACACCTTATCTGTGAAACAGAAATCATTAATTGCTCTACATACTTAGGGGTACTTGAAACTTTGAAGAAATAAAATGATAGAATACTACATACAGGTCTAGACAAACGTAAGGTGTCATTATGCTACCTAATGATATCAGCATATCCGAAATGTTCTCCTGCCTAGTTCTAATTAGAAGACTGAATTTCAGCAGACCAACAGAGCAGTGTGTAACTGTGATGAAAATACTGTCCCTAAGGGAAACCCCCACTTCGGCTTTTTTTTTTTTAAGTAAATCAAACTTGGCCACAGATGTGACAGGAAATGATTTTACATTTGTGTGGGTTAATGTGCAGATCTGAGGTATGTGAATGCTGTTTGGAAGGACACTTCGAGCATTTAGCACTGTCAAGATCAGTGGGTCCCAAAATCTCCTGCACATTAGAATTAGTTGGAAAATGTTTGTTTGTTTGTTTAAACAGATAGCTGGGTTGTATCCCAGATTCTGATTCAGAAGGTAGGATACAACTCAGCTGATTTTGACCTCCCCAAGTGTTTGTGATGGGCGTGAACCACTACAAAGGATGTTATCATAAAATGGTCTAATATAGGACAAAATACGTATGAAAAATCCGTGCATTCCAGAAGGGTCTAGGAATTAGCTAAATTCTCTTTTCTCATTGCTTGAAACAACTAGGTTCTGGCCCAAGAGCCTAGCCTGTGTCTGTAGTCTAAAAATCACGCTCAGTTATTCCATGTTTCTTTTTACCTCTGTGCTGAGGTCCATTTGGCTCTAGTGGGAAAAAAAGCCAGTCAGTGATTTACCTTAATAATATTAGCTAATATTTATTGAGCACTTACTGTGTGCCAGGCACTGTTCTAAGCTCTTAACATGGATTATTTCTCTCAAAACTTCTTTGGGATAGGTACTGTTTTTGTCTTTTTTTAGATGAAACTGAAGCACAAAGAGATCAAGCAACTTGCCCAGGTTGCGCTCACAGTAAGATTGGGGAACTGACCGTGGCAGCCTCAGGGCAGAGCCTGAGTTCTGACCTTCTGCATTCTATTGCCTCTGTAGTTTTAATAAGAGAAACATCGAAGAAACTCTTCGAAATGCCTAGAAAGAAAATTAAAGGGGGAAAGAAGAGTGCCTAAGGAGAGGGATCTGTTTGAAATGATCCCACTGGTGAGCTCACCGGTCTTTGAAAACGAAGCCCAACCAGTCCTCATACTGCCCCCCTAAATTTTGTATTAACTCCATGGTGCAATCCTAAAGCAGGCAGCACAAACAAAAATAATGAAGCATAGAAATGGATTTTAGTGTGATGTTAGGCTTTACTGAATATCACCAAAGGCATTGATTTTTGTTACAGTGCTTCATTTCAGTGAGACACTTTCTCCCAAGGTTGCTGCTGGGTTTTTTTGCGCTATTGAATAAAGTCACCTGGCGTAGGCATTTAGACGTTGCTCCCTGTCACACCTTGATCAAGCGCGTTTCTTTCTGCTGTCTTAGTTCTTTGTAATTTCTGATTGGTTCTGTGATAAACATGCGTTTTAAGTGTCAAGGTCAATAAAATGGTACAAAGTAACTTTGCAGCCTTCTCTGAAGGCTGCTGACTTCATATCTAATTACAGTTTTTGTAACTTAAATTACTTGTTATGATATGTGGAGAAGGATGACAGTAATTTACAAATACAGTATAGGACTAACTTGGTTTTATAACAGATTTCACAATAAATATAAAAACTGTTGCCAAACCAGCCTGGCGTGATGCTGGAACAGGGTCGTCTTTGTTTAGTACGCAGAAATGGGGAGCTGTCCCTAGCTGCATGCCTGTGATGGACTTGTATCTGGAGAATGGAGAAATCGAGCTTATTTAAAAACTTAGAGAACTTTCAGTATTTGAACTTTCAACACTTTTTTCAAAAATAGTCACTGTCAGTCTGCTCGACAAAGAATGCTTGGTATTTGGATAATCATAGATAATGCTTTTAGGCCACAAGTTATTAATAGAAGAATTAGAAGGAAATTGTTTCAAAAATAAAGATAAAATTAATACCAAGCTTCAGATTTTCAACTACTTATCAAAATGTGTATATTTATAAAATTTAGCACATTGTCTGTAGTTTAATGTGACTATATAAATATTTGTAAGCCAGAATAATGGTGTTTTTGTTTTTAAAGAATATCTGTTTTAATGACGAGGCCTTGAGAACTCTTTCTACCCATCCAATAATTTTGACTAGAGTAAATCTAAACTTAGGCAAAATTTGCTACAAAATCAGAAATAAAATTTAGTCAGTATATTGAATAACTGATTTTCACAAGTTAACTTTTATGTTTCCAAATGAAAGTTTATCTCATAGTTACAGAAATACTCCATTTGAGCTATTGAGAAATTATAAGCACATACACTCTAATTAGTAATTCTTTTAAGCTTAATAGCAGATAAAAGAAAATAGATCCGGGTAAGGTCCCTGTGTTTCCAGTGATGACTATGTTGTTGTTTTTACTTTGTGTATTTCTACAAGGCGTAGCTTCTTGCTATCAGCTTGGTGTTTTCTTTAAGCAGTCTCTAGGTGCCTCTTTCCATTAGACGACAAACCTTCGTTTTCTAAAGCAGGGGTAGGAAAACATTTTCTGTAAAGAGGCAGATATTAAATACTTTTTGGCTTTGTGGACCATATGGTTTTTCTTACAGCTATTCAACTCTACCATGGTAGCCTGAAAACAACCATAGACAATATATAAATGAGCATGGTGGTGTTCCAGTAAAACTTCATTTACAGAAACAGGCCGATGGCCAGATTTCATTCAGGGGCTGTAGTTTGCTGATCTAAAAGAACACTGCAGTCACCCAGATTTTGGTCTTCCCTTTCTTCTACTTGGAGGATATTTAGGTGTCACGGTAAGGATGCATACATGAATGCAGGCATGCATTCATCCTTCCCTTCATACATTCATTCAGCAACATTAGTACACTCCTGCAGCATGCCAGCCATGGTGCCTGAGGCTGCCACAGTGTTTCACGTGTGTATGTATACATTGTGTATAGCTCTTGATAAGGCATAGTTCCCTGTTTTCTCTTTGGAAGGCCGTGAAAGAGTGTATGCCAACACAGAGACTAGAAGAGGAAAAGTTCTTTGGAGATCAGTGTTGAGCACATAGCAGATTTTGTATGAAAGATTTTAGAAACGGAGCAATAGTGCAAGAAAATTCATGAATGGATCACATTCTATCTATGAGGTCTTAAGACTTTATAAAATTCAACATCCATTCAGGATAAAAACTCATAACAAAATGAGTATGGAGTGAATGTACCTCAACATAATACAGGCTACATGAGAAGCTTGCAGCTAACATCATATTCAGTGATGAAAAACTGAAAGCTTTTCCTCTAAGATGAGGAACAAGACAAGGGTCCCCACTCTCACCACTTTTATTGAACATAATATTGCAAGTCCTAGCCAGAGCAATTAGGCAAGAAAAAGAAATAAAACACATCTAAATTGGAAGGAAAGAAGTAAAACCAGCTCCATTTGCAGATGATATGTCTGTCTATATAGTCTCTGAAGACTCCACTAAATGTTGGAACTAATAAATGGATTCAGTAAAGTTGTAGGATATGCAGTCAGCATACAAAAACCAGTTGTATGTCTGTACCCTGGTAACAAACTATCAGAAAGAAATTAAGAAAACAGTCTCATTTACAATTGCATCCAAAAGAGTAAAATACCTAGGAATCTCAAGTTAACCAAGGAGATGAAAGACCTGTACACTGAAAACTGTAAGACATTGATGAAATATAAGTAGACACAAATAAATGGAAGGGTATTCCATGCTTATGGATTGGAAGAATTAATATTGTTAAAATGTCCATACTGCCCAAAGCAATCTACAGATTTAATGCAGTTTTCATCAAAATTCCAGTGGCATGTTTCCCAGAAATAGAACAGTCAATTATAAAATTTGTGTGGAACCACAGAAGCCCCAGAATAGCCACAGCAATCTGGAGAAAGAAGAACAAAGTTGGAGACATCATGCTTCCTGATTTCAAACTCTATTACAAGTTACAGTAATCAAAACAGTATGGTACTGACATGAAAACAGACACGTAGATCTGTTAGAGTCTGTGCATATGTGGTCAATTAATTTATAACAAAGGAACCAAGAATATACAAAGGGGAAAGGACAGTTTCTTCAGTAAATGGTGTTGGGAAAACTGGACAGCTACATGCAAAAGAATGAAATTGGACCACTATGTTATACAATACCCAAAAATCAACTCAAAATGGATTAAAGACTTGAACATAAGACCTGAAACCATGAAACTCCTAGAAGAAAAAGTAGGTGGTAACCTCCTTGTCATTGGTCTTGGTGATGATTTTTTGGATTTGACACCAAAAGCAAAGCCAACAAAAGTAAAAACAAACACAAACAAACAACAAGTGGGACTACATCAAGCTAAAAAGTTTCTGCATAGCAAAGGAAACCATGAAGAAAATGAAAAGGCAGCCTACTGAATGGGAGAAAAGATTTGCAAATCATATATCTGATAAGGCAGGGGTCCCCAACCCCCAGTCTGTGGACCGGTACCGGTCTGTGGCCTGTTAGTAACCAGGCCACACAGCAGGAGGTGAGTGGCAGGCGAGTGAGCAAAGCTTCATCTGCTGCTCCCCATCGCTCGCATTACCACCTGAACCAATCCCCCCACCACCGTCCGTGAAAAATTGTCTTCGACGAAACCAGTACCTGGTACCAAAAAGGTTGGGGACCACTGTGATAAGGGACTAATATCCAAAATATACAAAGAACTTATACAACTCTAGCCAAACAATCCAATAAAAAAATGGGCAGAGGATCTGAATAGGTATTTTTCTAAAGAAGATGGCCAACAGGTACATGAAAATGTGTTCAACATCACTAATCATCAGGCAAATGCAAATCAAAACCACAGTGAGATATCACCTTGTTCCCGTTAGAATGAATATCATCAAAAAGACAAGAAATAACAAGTTTTGCAAGGATGTGGAGAAAAGGGGACCTTTGTACACTGTTGGTGGGAACGTAAATTGGTATAGCCACTATGGAAAATAGTATGGAGGTTCCTCAAAAAATCAAAAATAGAACTACTGTCTGATCTAGCAATTTCACTTCTGGGTATGTATCTGAAAACACTAACTCAAAAAGGTATCTGTACCCACCATGTTCATTGCAGCTTTATTCTCAGTAGCCAAGACATGAAACAGCCTGAGCATCCATCAACGGATGAATGGATGTGTGGTGAATATATTCAGGGGAATATTATTCAGCCATAAAAAAGAAGGAAATTCTGCCATTAGAAACAATATGGGTGGACTTTAAAGGCATTATACTAAGTGAAATAAGTCAGGGAGAGACAAATGCTGTGTGATGTCACTTATGTGTGAAATGTAAAAAAAGGAAAACCCAAACTCATACATATAGGGAACATACTGGTGGTTGCCAGAGGCGGGGGTAGGACCTGCCTGGCACAGACCATGTAGCCTGAGCAGATGATTCGCACCATTCCACAGATGTGTGCAGAACTTGGTTCTGATTCAGTGTTGAGAACAGGCACAGTTAGGTCTGTTAGTCTTGTTTAGTGAATAGGAGGACACTGAAGAGCTTGTCCTCTGGTGGCAGCCAGAGTTGGCACTTCATGTGCAGTTAGGAATGTTCAGTGTTCAGCGTTAGGTCAGGATCTGCTCAAATCAGCTGCACAGAAGGTTGCTCTTGCCCAGGGCAGCCCAGCCCACTCACCCCAGAAATACCATTGTTGGTGCACACAGAGGTTGCCAGATGTTCTTATTCTTTCAAGATGTCCTTGCTGACCTCATCACCTAGCAAGTACATTCCAGTAGTGTTGACAGGCCTTCTTCTGCCAGTAAATGAAGAATGGATGGGTGCCATTCATGCATCACTGGTAATTCATGCATTACTAGTAATCAGGATTACAAATCAGCAGGGAAAGTTAGACTAAGAGCCTAACAAAAGCTATTTAAAAAAAAAAAAAGGTGAGTAGGCACTTCAAAAAAAAAACAACTTATATTTAATCCTCATATTCTTTTTCTTGAGAATTGGTTTCTTAGCCTGTTTTTTATATACTCTTGCACAATCTGAAGATAGATACTTATCTAAGTTTGAACCCACTGGGTTAGATAGTGCTGAACATCTCTGTACTAGGATGAGTGATGGTGTCTGAGTGAAAATGTTAGTTTTCTTATCTGTGAAATGAGGGGGTTGGACTATCTCTTTGAGATCTCTTTTGGCTCTTACACCTTTTGGTCAGTTTCATTGCTGTAGCTTCACGCTTCACCTAAGGACTCTCCAGAGTAGCAAAAGAGTGCTTTTGAAAACGTTGGACTCTTGAATACTAACATATTGTACTCTTAAAAGTGTTATTATCTGGTGTCAATAGAAACTAAGGGAAGAATATGGATAGTTCTTGTCAAAACATCAGTACTACTTATAGAGCAACTCAAAGTACATAGCACTGTTTACAGATAGTACATGGTTTTCATATTACTGACAATTAATTCAAGAGTCTCAGAATGTTTTATATTGCAGGTGGTATCACAAAATTACCATATCAGAGAAATGGATTTGATCTTTTATTATATTTACATTTTTTAAAATTATTCCCATTGAAGTTTTGACAAATGAAGCTTTCCTTATTTACAGAATAAAAATTGAAGTTTTCTTTTTAATTCATAAATCCATGGGAGACAGTTTTATTTCCTTATACTAATTTTTTTGAACAATCATTGTTACAGGCTGTAGTTGAAGACAGAAAGTGGAGGTGATGGTCTAGGGTAGAGGTTGGCAAACTATGGCCTATAAGCCAAATCCAGCTCACCACCTATTTTGGTAAACGTTTCATGGGAACAAAACCACACTCTATTTACATGCTGTCAGTATCTGCTTTCACAGTACGACATCAAAGTTGAGTATTATGAAAAACACTGTGGGGCCCACAAAGCCTAAAATATTTACAATTCAATATTTACCTTTGCAGGAAAAGGTTGTTGACTCCTGGACTAGAGCAGTGTTGTCCAGTAGAACTTTCTGCAGTGGTGCAAGTGTTCTCACTGTATCTGCATTGTTCAGTATGGTAGCTGAACCATGGCTAATGAGGCTCATAACTGAAAGTTTAATTTTATTTCATTTTAATTTACATTTAAAATTAAACAGCCACCTGTGACAGGAGATGACTGGATTGGACAGAGTGTGTCTAGAGATTTGAAGACAGGGGACGTGGTTACAGAATAGCTCATTGTTTTATGTTAAATTCGGTGGAATGGAAGCTTACGTAGCTCTTGAGATGATAAATAAATGGTTGTACATCATGTTTACCTACAGGTTTATAATGTTTTAAAAGTTTGCTCTGGTTTCAACTATTTCACATCCACTGTTTTTCCTCTGCAGTGAAGAGGAGCTCCCATATCATAATGCAGCTATGGAACGGGTAAGTCCAGCTCTGCGTTTGTTTACAGTTACCGGGGAATTACGTTCATCAGAGGAATAAAACCTGCCACCTTTGTGATTGTGAGTGCCGTGTTATATGTCAGTGCTGTAGTCATCGTTAGAATTTGACCCTCATGTTTCTTACTGTAAGAAAGTAATTAAATTAATGGTGAAATAACTTTAGATTTTATGGAACTTCTGATAGGTACTTGGAAAAAAGGAGAGGTAGGCGTTAGCAGAGAGTGCATTGGGCGCGGGTAGTTCTCCATCGAGGATGCCTCAGGACTCGGGCCTGGTGAGAGCACAGAGCTTGGGAGCAGCGAGAGCCTGGGCCCCTAAAGTGTACAAGTTTCATGGGTGCCTCTAAAGCACCATGCGGCTCCTAAAGCCGTGGTCCAGACCAGCAGCTCTTTGGAACATAACTGTGCCGTGAGCTTTTAATCACATTTTCCACAGACAACAACAAAAAGCGTTTGCTGTAGTCAAATAAGTACATGTGCATTTTGAAGACTTACATATAGTAAACTCATCAGTTTTTTTGTAACTCAGTGGTTCCCCTTTCTTCATTGCACTTGGCTGGGGAGCTGACTCCATAGCTGGGTGTGCATGAGAACCAGCGACTGAATGTCTAAGGTTGCTCAGAGCCTCCCTCCCCCTCTCCATTGTTTTATGTACCTAAAAATGAATTGTAGAATTTATGATTTGAGAGGGAGGCTATTGATCGGGGGGATTATTCTCAGTTTGTTTATGTTTGATGGGGGAAGGAGGCTGGGTTTCAGACAATGGAGGTAAAATTGGAATTGGAATTTGAAAAATATTTTAGAAAAGCTTTCTAAAATAAAAAATTTCCTGAAAATTAGAACCGTAGCATAACTCTGGATAAAAAGTGCCATTTTACATATACCGTGTAGAGAGCCCTACGGGTACTTCCTGCGGTTAAATTCTCTTGTGACTGCCTGATTCTGTGTCATAACCTTGATGTTTGGGCAAAGAAATTTCTTTCTCTTAATAAAGCTCTATTACTGCTTAGCAACTATATATCAAGCACAGGTCTAGAATCGAGGCCATAGCCTGGAACATCAGGATCAAATACGGCATAGTTTCTGCTCTGAGCGGCTGGCTGTTCATCCAGTGACTAGAGGCAGGTCAGGTGAGACAGTAGTGGGAAGTGATAGTGGCTTTCAGGGGCATGGTGTGTGCAGCGTGCCCTGGCAGTGGTGCTGGTGGAGAAGGCGGGCCCCTGCGGCCCAGGGATGCAGGAGAAGGAAGTGACGGCGCTTTCTACCAATTCTGCCCCTGGTGAACTTCTACCAGACCACTTGGAAGTGGGCACACAGGGATTTGCTTGTGTCCACGTTCCGGCCATTCTCTCTCTGTTAGTGCCCTGACTTGGCTAATCCGTGGACCCTCTGGATCCCACAACTGTTATGTCTTCATTCCCCTCTCTTCCCAGCTCAGCTCTGCCACAGGCTGGGACCGCCCCCTCCCCCCTCCTGCCCACTTCTCCTGGGCTGAACTTTGTGCCTCTGCAGCACCTGCACCTGAGCGGCTCAGTGCTACTGGGAAAAGACTCTCAACTGGGATGACTGGTTTTACTTTACATCCATGATCACAAACCTCAGCTGGATGTTTATGCTGCCTGGACATCATACCGCTTCCTCCTAGCGAATTTCTGCTCCCATTTTAACTAGTGCAGCTTCCCATTCCCTCTCAAACCTCCAGTACCTCCTTCTCTGGCCTTGCCCAGCCGATGTGCTTGCTTCGTGTTTCCTATTTCTTATCTCTGCACTGTCACACCAAGTAGTCAGTTCCCAGTGACCCACCCACGCATGTGATTGGTTGCTTAGCCTCACTCTCACACGTTCCCACTTCTTGGCCTTCAGAACCCCCTACTCTCCACATATTCTTCTTTCCTCACTGGCTGCTCTTTCTCCATTTCCTCCACTTGTTCCTTCTCGTCTCATGACTTTATCCTGAGCCCATGGCTCAGGCCTGGAACTTCTCTTTCCTGTCTGGATCTCCTCCTCGGTCATCTCATCTAGTCTTTTGGCTTTAAACGCCAGCCCCCAGACTGTGTGTGCATTTCAGTGTCTAGACTTAGTGTCTGGCTTACTCCATACACTCAGATGTCTTAAAAATGTCCAAACTGGGGTTTCTGTTATTCTCTTCAAATCCATCTGTGAACAAGCTTCCCATCTCAACCAGTGGGAGCGCCACCCTTCCAGGTTTCAGTCTAAAAACTTCTGAGTTGTGTTTGACCATCCCCACACCTCATGTGTCAGCTCGGCCTTCAGTGTGTGTCCACAGTCTGATGACTTCTCAGCATCCGCACTTCTGCTGCCTGGTCTGCTGGAACCTCTCTTCTGGGGCTTCCAGCTCCTTTCTTCTGCTAGTGTCCGCTGTCTGTTCACCACAAGAGCCGGAATGATCCTGTTAAAATAAGAGAGCATGTCACTCTTGATGGGAACATCCTGCCTGCTCTCCAGCTTATCCACAGTAAAAGGGAAGGTCCTTAGAATGATCTCAGAACCCCTTGTGACTGGTTTCCGTGAGTCTCTCCTCTCCTGCTCCCATCTCTTGCTCACCCACCGACCTCCTCAGTGTTCCCCGACCAGCCCGCCATGTTCCCTCTTTCAGGCTTTTGCCTGGCTGCCTCCTCTCCTGGGGAGCCCCTCCTCCTACCCCCAAGAGCTACAGGGCATGGTCCCTCATCTCCTCCAGGTATTTACTGTATGACGCCACCTTCGGAATAAGGCCCTCCCTGGCATCTCAGCTCTTAGTTGGGAACTCCCTCCCCCTGCATTTCAACCCTCCCCCTCCCCCATTTCAACCATCCCCCTCGGTCCTTTGTTTCTCTCTTTAGTACTCACACTGTTTCACTTACTCAGTATTTTACTTGTATCTTTATTTTGTCTGTTTCCTCACTAGGATGTAATCTCTAGGAGGGGGGTTTCATCTGCTTTGTTCACTTGTATCCCCAGAACCTAGAGCAGGGCACGTAGTACGTGCTTAATAAATGGTGGCTGAGTGAACGACCAGGTGAACATAAAGACTGTGTTATGTCATTAAACAGGTGAATTTAAAGGTTGGCGGAGCTTGTCCTTTCAAATGTTGACAGTGTGCTTTATTTGAGAAATGAGGGAGAAAAGAGTTGGAAGGTACCTTATCCATATTTGGCAGAATAAAAATCTGGCAACCCACTGTTGACTTTTCTCTCCAATGCCACCTCTCTTCCCCTTTCAAAACGAATTCCTGGTCCAGAAAATTCAGACATGTGGGAACCAGTAGCGTAGATGATTCAAGAAATGTGACAGTAAAGGAAAGAAGAAATATGAGACAAAACCTGGTTGGAGAATGCGTGCTTGAGGGAGGTTGTTTTTAATTTTGTTTTTAAAGAGATTTGCCTGTACAATAAAAGACCTCTTATCCAATGCAGTTAAAGTTATAATTAATGGATTGTTTGCTCTAAACAGTTTAATATAACAGGGAATCACTATGAAATGATATGCACACCTTAAAAATTTAACGTAAGACATAGTTTTATATTCCCTTGTCAGGCTTTTACTGGGAGTGGGGGTTCTGAGGCTGCCGACTGAGACTCTGTCCTCCCCTTGTCTATAAACTGCACTCATATCGTGTGGCCCAGTTGGTTTCTTTAAAGTGGAATGAGAACTTTAGACACATGCAGAGCAGTCTGAGGCTGGAAGCTTTTTAGTTTATCAGGATTTCCCCCAATTTTTCTAGTTTCAGTTTAGTTCATATGTTCTTCAGTGATTGCCTAGTCCTAATGGCCAAGGTCTGCCATTTCTAGGAAAGTAATAAAAAATTCTGCATATTCATATGCGGCAATAAAATCAGTGGAAAGGATAGCCTTGTGGAAGCGTACAAGTGTTCATCAGTCTTCACAAAGCATCCACTTGCAACGTGTACTTCCTGCCTGCCGTTCGGGAAGACTTGTACACTGATGCATAGTCAGGTCATCGGGCCTTTTGTTCCAACTTTGCCAGTGTACTCCTTTTACATAAGGTAATTCTCTGTTTAAAATAGGGTGTGGAAGGCAGTCAGTCCCTCGTAAGAGGAGGGGTGTTGGTGTTTGCAGACTGCTTTGGATTCCCCCTGACAGTCACTGAAGCAAATAAACACACACACTTATTATATTTACTCTGCAGAGAACACTATTAATAATGGATTATATTGTTTCTTTGAGCTTATTGATGTTTTTAATAAGGAGGAAAGGATATGTAAAGCTATGAATTTTCATGGATTCAGCTACTCCTTTTTGCAGTGCAGTATTTTGCATGGCTTAACAGAATATTGGAGCCTTTTCAGATCTTTAAAAATTATATTTTAATTTTATGAGGTGTGAAATCTTGCTCAAAATACATGACTTTTCAATATCATTATTCTATCAAAACACGACTCTTTGCTTCTTACACTCCTTATCCTCTCCTGACCTCTGCTGGTGAGGTCTAGTTGTGCGTGCCTTGGGTCAGCTTTATCCTCAGCCACACATCCTAATATTCAAAAAAACATCTGAAGACTCGAACTTCAGTAGAGTTCTGAGCCTTCTTATTCTAGAAGAGAAGGCTATTTAATATCCATCCATGCACTGTGTATATGGGTAGCCTTTACTACCTATCTTATAAATCATTGTTGCTAGTGGGAGGAACATTGGACCCAATGCAAGGCAACTTCATACTATGTGGGTGATGCAGCAGTTGTTAAATACTTCCTATTCAATTGGTCCTGTATAGGATTAAGGTATAGTCTCAGATCACTGGAGGTTGAATGATCTCAACCAAGAAGATATTGGTCCCATTTTTAATCGTTATACCCTCCTTACCCCAATAGGAGGGGCCAGTCCTGATTCAGAGGGGATGTGAATTTAAGATGATCAGGTATCAGGTTGCAAACTTCAAATGGAAGTTTAGTCCTTTCCTGAAAACAGCTCCTGGGGAAGAGTATACAACACCGTACCATTTCCTAATCAGTGGAGGTAAT